GCACCTTGTTACCTCAGAAGTGGAAGTCCAAGCCTCCAGCAGCAAAATCCTTTGCTCCTTCCTTCAAAGTATCTTTCCCAAGACTTGAGATTCAAATCCAAGCCAGGCTTTCAGTTCCGCCATAGGTTCTGGTCCTTCAAATATATTAAATGTGGGAGCAGGCCCTTCAAGCCCAATAAATGTGGGCGCAAGCCCTCTTCATTAAAAAGGGGTATCCTACATTAACTGGTAGGGGAAACAGCCTTTCTTCTTAAAGGTGGTCTTTGCCTACCCAGGTCACTGTCCAACCATCCTTATGCCCTGCTCCTAAATACATTTCTGTCCACTGTTTGGACATGATCCGGGCTGCTTTGGTTTACATCCCTTCTATGGCTTCCATCCACAAGTCTGACTCCCTTTCTCATTCCTGAGGTTTGGGCCAGCTGGCTTCTTGTTCCACTATTGCTAGGTGTATTTGGGCCTATGAGTTAAAGGTTAAAGTTCTCCCCTTTCCTGTTAGAGCTCACTCTACTAGGAGTGTTAGCCCTTCTCGGGCTTTCCAGCATCAGGCTTTGGTTTCCCAAACCTGCCACCTGGTCCTCTGTTCACAATTTTGCCAAGTTCTACCAGGTGGACATTCAGGCCTCCACGGGTGTTAGCTTTAGCCACAAAATTCTTCAGGTGACCCTCTAAATTGTGGGCCTCTTCTGCTATAGTTCCCATTTGCTTGTGTATTCTCTGTTATCTCTTGCTATAGTGTTGCCCGCCCCTCCGCTGGACTATTTTTGGACATCCTACTAGTTCTAGAATGAACTCCTTGTGTATGATCAAGAAAACAGGATTTACCACTCTGTTATCCACTCTTGTTCGGCTTGCCACATAACTGAAGCAGGCTGGGAGTGGGAGGGGTTATGTAGGACTATCCACACAGCATTGATTTTCCAGTGTCCAATCACCTAAAGTTCGCTGCATAACCCATGCGTTCCAATCCCTGTGTCCTGTAAAGTACAGGTAAAATCCTGTTGTCCCCAGGTTAATTATCATATCCTGCAGCAACAGCATATTTAAGTAAAGCAAATAATGCGCAACACCGACAGGAAACTACTAGTGATCAGTTGGTAATCTTTGTACCTGCCATGTCAACACTTGATACAACTAAGAGTCAGGGTGCAAAGAATAGAACAGATGATTCATAATAAGAGCAATGGAAACAGTGTATAGGTAGACATAAAAATGTACCAAATATGTAGGATTCATTTACAGAAATAATTATGCATAAAATTAAGGGAAGCAACTTACAGCTGTCAGAACACTTGTTGTCATGATCTTCACATCAAGACAACAACAGTAGTACCAGTAGTTCCACATATCAAGGGCTCAAGTAAGAGATGTCAGTTCTTGGGAGGGATTACAGTTTAGGAGCCTACTGAATGCTTTCCAAGTAAAACCACTATGTAAGTAGTATTTTAAAAACGTAAAAAAAAAAAAAAATCAGAAACCTTTTAACTAAATAAACCAGGTTGCTAAACAATGACAGTGCGGGATATGGACCATGGGAGCATCCCACACTTCAGTCACTATAAGGACCCACTGACAGGAATGGTAAGAGCAGGTGTAAGTGATTGGGAAGCATTTAGAACACTTCTCAAATGCTTTGCATTATCTTGCAAATATGTTATGTTCATGATTGAGACAAGCATTTGTGTTGGTTTGCTTTGATCTGGACATGGCAAGCAAAGTTCTGCAGGTGTTAAAGCCTGTGGACACACAACCCAAATACTTATCAACATCCGTATAGCATTTAAGAAGTGTCTGATATTGATCTTCCATGATTTTGAAGAAATGGTCTAACAGGCATCAAAAAACAGCAAAACATCAGAAATGGGCAGCACAGTAGCTTAGTGGTTAGCACTTCCGCATTGAACCACAAGGGCTCTTGGTTTAAATGCCAACCAGAATACTATCTGCATGGAGTTTGCATACTTTGCCTATGCTTGTGTGGGTTTCCTCCCACACTCCGAAGATATGCTGGTAGGTTAACTGGCTCCAGTCTAAATAGGCCTTAATATGCATGTGTGATAGGGACCTTAGATTGCAAACTCCTTGCTGGACCCACGTGAACGTACAGTATGTGAAGAGCTGCATAAATAAATGTCTAAGCCCAGGACATTGGTTTCCTCTGGAGAGTGTTCTCCAGTAGTTAAGAGTGAGAAATTACAATGTGGGCTATGAATATGTATTCTGCCCTGGCCAATCACTGAGAGGTTAATGCTAGTGATGTGGGAAGTGGATAAATATTTGGGGAGACCTTCCAGAAAGTCCTTCCCAGGCTTAGCATGGAGATGATGCGTGTGTGGGAAGGGTCCAAGCTAGGCCTCCTGGATAGGGAGGGTATATCTCAAGAGAGAGGTCCAGTTCATGCTCCTTGGGTTTGCTGCCAGGAGAAGGAAGCTAAATTCTGCTCAGTCATTTGCCAGTTCTGACTTAGTGACATTAAAGTCTAATTCCCCCCTATGCTGGTGTATGCACTTACCTTAAATGATGACTCTTGATCCAATCATTTTCTTCTTTCCAGTAGTTTTCAGGAGTCCCTCCAGCGCTGGTGCCGGTCACTGACTGCTTTGTCTTCTGTGTCCCATGGAGTGTGTGCCGGTGCACGCTGCCAAGGTACCTGCATTGACTTACCCTGTGTCTCTATTCTCAGAGCCGAAGATCTCTATTGCGCATGCGCCCGCCCCATGATCCTTTGTGGGCATCCGAGAATCTTCAGAACTCTGGACCGGAGCGCATGGCAGTGACATAGGTAAGTTTTAACCTTTTTGGCGACTTTTTAAAAAACATTTTTTTTGCATATATCTATTGCTTGCTAGCAAGTAAATATATATCACAGGCAGGGCCCTCCTTACCATCTTGTCTTGAATTGTATTGTGATTGTAATGTCTTCCTTATGTTGTAAAGCGCTGCGCAAACTGTTGGCGCTGTATAAATCCTGTATAATAATAATAATAATAATATGCAAAAAACCCTGAGGGTCTAATTATCCTTTAAAGATCCACAACTACAAATTGCAGGTCGCAGCTTAAAAGGTCCCCCACTAGCTTTTGAGAGGGGCTGAAGACCATCCTAATGGCTTTGCCTGAGGCAAAGCCATCAAGATACTGAGAGTCCACCGAGAAGATACTGCTACGTGTAAGGAATTTTCCTGCTGCTTTTGGGCAATCTGTACCCCCAACCCTATATCCCCAATATGACATTTGAGCCAAACAAGAAGACTGATTTATTTTTTTCGAAGCCCGCGGACGTGCATCAAGTCAAACTTACTCCTGTGAACAAAAACAGTGAACCGTGAAATCACAGCACACAAAAACGTGCAAGGTCCTTCCAAAGAAGGGACCTACTTCCCGACCCCCTGGGGCGCAAGGATCCTGACAGGGGTTAAGATTGTTGGTCCACCAACCCAAAGGCCGGTGGACCCCGATCCTTTGGGGACCTGCCGAAACAGGTCCCTCACAGTACTAGGCAGGGGGGGATCTCCCGAAGAGAAACCCCGCTCCTGTGTGGGAGGAGACAGAGAACCCCATAAGAGGCACAGAATCTCCTCCCAGCATCAGGAATAGGCCCCGAAGAAACCTGCACCTTCAGCATCTGTGGGTCAAAAAGCTTTAAAAAAAAAAAGCCAAAACGTGCAATAACTAATACTAAAGTGCCAGTGCACCACGCTGAAAGGCCTTAGGGGCCGAGTGCAAAAAAAATTGCCCCGGACTAGCCATAAGGCCTGTCCAAGAGGCGATGTGCAGAAAACTGCAAGGTGGTGTGTGACCAAGTGATCAGTGAGTCAATGTGGGGTCCCACACCCAGGTGACTTCCTGAGTACCCCTGGGACGCCACCCCCAGGGGGCACAACACCAAGGGCTTCTGCTGCCCCCAACCCTTCAGCCAGACCAAGCTTCGCATCCATTCCTCTCAGGAGGCAGGGCACCTTCAGAGATCCCTCTGCCGGAGCCCACCCATCCCACACCGTCGAAAGCTCCGATGGCCTGGAACCTCATCCAGTACCCCACCAATTACGCCAGGAAATACTAAGCCGCCATCTACCCACACTCCAAAAGGTGACGGCGGCCGTTATTTCCCGACAACTGATAAGAATAGATACTACACTTGATCTTAGCCAAAAGGCCTAGAAGCGATAGCTTAGATAACAAGAAGACTGATGACTTGGAAGAAAGAATCCAGCATCTCCTTTGAGGGTCAGCACTACACAACTAGACATTAAAAGGAGAACTATGAGATGAGTGATTTCCACTCACCTCATAGTTCTTAGCCGACCTGTGACAATGAGACTGTCACAGGTCAGCTCAGTAGATCGGGAGGTGAGGGAAAACATACCGGGTTCCCTCACCTCTCGATCCTGCCACGGCTCTCTGCCGTGACAGGGGGAGGGGCTGGATTCCCCTCTCCGATCTGCCAGCGCTGACTGGCGGAACTGACGGGGGAGGGGGCGGGTACAGCTGGCTCTGCCTCTAGATAGGCAGAGCCAGCTGTCACTCACGCAGCTGGGCGGATCCCGTCATCTACGTTGGGATCCGCTCCGGCTGCGGCGTCTCAGTATACCGCGAGCTGTAGCTCGCGGTATACTGAGCTTAGGGTAACGGGAGGACGCTAGTTTGTGTCCTCCCGTTACCCTAAGGAGAACTATGGGGAAAAACACTGACCCCATAGTTCTCCTTTAAGATTCTGCAAGACATTAATTCCAGCCTACAGTGAGAACATGCTGAGCTATGATCCCAGGAATTTGTCCCTGGCTGGGGCTTTCAGCAAAAAGGAAATCTGATTTGTGCAGGGCGATGTGGCAATCTAGGAGTGTGGAGAAGGTGAAGGACAGTTCGGATAGTCACCATACCACTACGCTTACTATGTGAACAGGATTTCTGGCCTTCAATACAAAGTGCAGATAGAATCAGATCATGAAAAGACAATGGTGTTGGAAGCCTTCATTCCTGGGTATGGCTGCAGATATTTACCTGACCACAGACACCCTCATGTGCTGGGGCTGGATGCTGGTCCAGGCTCCTCTCAGGTACTCTTTGCACAATATGAAGGCTCTCCTGCGCAGGTCAGTGCTGAGCTCCAGTCTTTTCCCTCCTGGTGACAGGTGCTCCACTGCAGGCTTTGGATGTCCCACTGACTTCTCCTGGTTGGGTGATGGGCAGGGTGAAGCCATTAGGGCACCATCCTCACGTGGGGGCTCCTCCATGGACTTCTGCTTCTGGTCAGTATGTTCTTCCGACTGACTGACAAATGGTTCCTGTTCAATGGTCCCTTCCTCCGGACCAGATCCTTCCACCTCATCTCTTGTGCATTTATCGGTGCCCCCTACACAATGCATGCCGCCACCTTCAACCTACACACATGGAATCACAGCTCCCAGCAGCTAGTCGCTGCCGTGGCTTCCAAGGTGACTACTGCCGGCCGGGCGGCTCTAATGAGCGCTGTGTAAGGGCGACACCGGCTCAGGCTCAGGCTGCTGACTCTCTGTCATGCAGACAGAATAATATAATGCCAGCTGGACTAACTGACAGCTAGCCTCGCCAATCGGAGCGAGGGACACACAAGCCTTCCAGCAGCCAATCACACACTCCCCACACAGACTGCGACGCCTTCCTGAACAGCAGCCAACAGCACAGACTGGAAGCTCTCTGTGTCACTGGCTTACGTTAAAAACGCACATTTCTGGCAATAGCCTAATGTACAGTATACTATGGAAGACGCCCGGGATAAGGCTGTACACTTATTCTATTATGGAACCACCAATTTGGAAAGAATATGAGGATGATAAAACAGTCTCCGTGTACGATAAACCCGGAATTGAAGACATTATGCTGAGGGGAGCATTTAGCTCTGGTGAGGGCCTGGAACCTAATTCCCGCTCTGTGATTCGTCAGACACTCTACGGCCGCGTGTTCGTGCGTTGAGTGGCGGGAGTATTTAACACGTGTGGGTGAGTATATGTCGGTTGTGACTGCTCTGTCCTATGTTATTCCAATTGGGTGTTGGCTTAATGGTCAGCATTTATTCTTTGCAGTCCCTAGCCTTTTTGCCCGGGGGGCATGCCTTTCTTATCTGGGTTATCTCATGTTACATGCTGGGTCTTACACTGCTTCCTTCCTCGCTTCAGTTATCAGGAGTTAGCTGTCTTTTCCAAGTTCAGAGAGCTGACCCCTTAGGCCTAGGAACTGATAGGCATTTTTCAGGCTAAAGCTGACCTTACACTATACAAATTTTGGCCAGTTCTGGATGATTTATACATTTTAATGTACCCCGTTCACACCTGTGCATGGCACAACGCACAAAATAATAAAATAAACGCGATATTTTGGGCAACTGCACGTATGTTAAAATGTGCATGTTTTTGCTCCGAGCTGCAATCAATACGTGATGTGTGAACGGAGCTTAAGGGCACGCGCCAGGTTCCTCCTCCATCAGCATCACGTCTGTCCTTCTGAGTAGACCTTTGCAGTGTTTGCACTGATAGTATTATATTGTTTAACCCCTTAATGACAGCCCTTTTTTTTCTTCATTTTTTTTGCACCCATATTATATTCCCCATTTTTAGGCCTGAAAATGACTTAAAACCCCCAAACATATATTTTCTGAAAGCCAAGACCCTATAGAATAAAATGGGGGCAGTTGCAAATTTTTATGTTGCACGATATAAGCGCAACTCCTTATCAAACCCCCAAATTTAGTGAAAAATGCCCCCAAAACAATTAAAATACCGATTTTGTAAGTATAATATAAAAGATAAGGTTACAACAAGTAAATAGATACCCAACATGCCCAGGTTAGAAATTGTGTGCATCCGTGAAACCGACAAAATTCAGTACCCCAAAAAGTCCATAGACGACGCTTTAAAAGCCCCCCAAGTCATCGGTTTAGAGATACCCAAAAATACTGGCCCTAGAATTATTGCTCTCACTCCGGTGTGCGTGGCGATACCCAACATGTGTAGCGTGTTCGTGGTTTTCATATGTAGGCACACCCGACGCATGTTTACGCGAAGGTGCGCATGTTCGCCGGGAACTTTAACACATTTTAAAAAATTATTTTTACATTTATTTTATCTAATGCAATTGTTAAAAACTTGTTTTTTTTTTAACTTTAATTGCTATCACATAGGGGGATAGCAGATGGTGGTGACATGTACTCTTTTTAAGGTGATGCTGGGGGTCCAAAAGACCCATAGTGTCACCTTTACACTCTCAATAAGCTATTGAAGTGCAGATCGCACTTCAATAGCTTATAGCTGGGCTTCAGGAGTAGGGTTGCCACCTTTTCTTCAAGCGAAACCCGAACACTCAAGCGACGCACGGAAATTTTTTGGGGAGAATGAGTGGGGGCTTATTCATATGTAAATAGCGCTGCCCATTCCTATGTAAATATCCCAGTTGAGACTATTTTCAATGGGGGTCGGTAACTCCTATTTTAATTTTGGTTGCCCCAAGTCTGCCTGACATCTTGTGTCCGGGTTTCTGCTGCCATGAAACCCGGACACAGCATTCAAAACCCGAACTGTCCGGGTGAATCCTGGACAGGTGGCAACCCTATTCAGGAGCCCAGCACTGACAGCTATGGGACTGGAAGTGATCCAATCTGCCTGTAGGAGGGGCAACGGAGCCCGGGAAACACGGCGGGGATGTCGGGCGGGAGGGACCCCTTCTCTGGCCCGTAGAAGCAATCTGGCGGCAGCTCGGTCAAGGCAAGGCCTAGGCAAAAAATATTTTGCTAAAATAGTGAGTCCATCCCACTGTCTTCAGGTGCAAAGCATTGTCACAACATGACTTGTAGTCCCAAGATAAGAACTGGGGGGCTAAATAGATTCTTTTAGAAGACACAGGAAGTGTGCAGAGGATACAGGACAAGGTCAACAGGTTTTGTTTACACTTAAAAATCAGATATAACAAAATGCATTCAATTGGATATATTTAACAGACCAAAATGGAGCAAATAGAAGTTCATTGTTAGGGTTTACATATGCCTTAAGATCAAAACATGCCTGTTTGGTACAACTGCTACTCGGCCTGTTCTTCATAGATCTTATTGGAAAACCTATCTATTGAAAGTCTGCAGAAAGACAGAATCTCCACTAGGGCCCAGACATCCCAACTCTCCCGGATGCTCCGTAGAGTCTCCTGCTGTTAGATAGAGCTCCCGGCCGCCCGGGAGAGAAACATTTTCTCCCGGAAAGGTTACTCTGCTATATCTAGCAGAGTAAACCTTTTCCTACGATCTTGTTTTTTGTTTTTCTGACATCGAGGCTACCGGCCGCCGTCAGTCAGAGAGAAAAAAACAGCATAGGACTGAAAAGCTAGATTGCTATTGGCTATTTCACTTTGCAATAGCAGACTAGCTATTGCACCCGCCCAGTGCTGCTGCAATCAGCAGAGGGGGGACCTAAAGTTCTCCATCAGGTCCTCTTCTAGTGATTGACAGCAGCAGAGGGTGAGTGAGGCTTGTTGGAGAACGCAGAACCACACCACATAGCCTTCTGGGTTCAGACACGTCATAGTTCTGGGTTCAGTTGGCTCACTGATCCGAGGTCTGAAGTGGAGGATATAAACATATTGGTGAGGATGAGAAGGGGGCTTTTAGATTGAGGTATTCTTATCTTTTAATTCTAGCTTTTGCTGAAGTCAGTGCCCTATGATTGTAGAGGGTATAGCATCCAGGCGTTCCATAATGGCACGGAAACTGATTTGCAGATTGTCAGTTACTTGCAGGCACAACAAGATGCCTTCATTACAGCTGTATTGCTGTCTTAACTCCTTTTTAAACCAGGGGTAGCTAACCTCCGGCCCTCCAGGTGTGATTAAACTACAAATCCCATGATGCATCTCTCTTCGGGAGTCGTGGCTGTGAGAATCTTGCAATGCCTCATGGGATTTGTAGTTCCACCAAAGCTGGAGGGCCGGAGGTTTGCTACCGCTGTTTTAAACCCTGTCAGATTCACTTTAAGCAGTGTTTTTCATATATTCTATATTTGAGTGGACAAATTAATATGGGATTTAGGAGTCGGTCTGTCCAATCCAAAAGCCAGCAGGATTTTTAAGGAGCCAGCTCCATTAACAACAACTAAAGATGCCTCAAATATTTGGTGTCCGCTGTAATTAGGAGCATCGGCTACCTGGCTCCTGGGATTTGTCCAGCCCTGTTCTATATTATTATTAGTCTGGTTAGGACATATGTATTTTGCATTTTAGACTTCGTAAATAAAGGGTAAGTTCACGTTCTCATAAAATGTGAGAAAATGAACATACTGACACCACCTTTCATGACCCCCACTGTGCATACCTTTGCGCTGCCCCCGCCAGCCGGTGCTCAGTCCCTACACCACACTTCAGCCCTGCACTGAGCATTCATCATAGTGTTCGCAAATGGCAAGCCCTCATTGGTCAACATGGTCACATAAACATGCTAACCAATGAGAAGTGGTTCTTGCTTCTGAGACTTGGCTCAGAAGCACTTTGGTCACTGTAGTCATGTGACAATGCTGGCCAATGAGCACTTGTGAGGAGTATGCTGAATGCTTTATTATTTATGTTATGTTGCAGCCTGATAATACAGTTGTTTAGCTTTTCTTTTTTTTCCCCAATCTACACTCAGTACCCCATGATGACAAGGTGGAAATAGAATTTTAGAATTTTTTTGGGAATATTTAGAAAAACATTTTAGGAATGTTGCAAATGAATGAAAAAGGAAAAACTGAAATATCACAATATGACCACAAAAAAGTGTTGCCCATTTTGTATAATGTACTTCTACTCCTGGCCCCTGGTTTTGCATTTTGAACATAACTTTGGTGTAAATACATGTGTATGCAGAATGTAAATTAAGGAACTCCAGAATCACTACCTGGTTTTCGCTTTCCAGTATAAGATGCCTCGAAACGTGGAAGTGAAAGCCAAAATTGATAACTGGGAACATATCCTTCAGGTGTGCAAAGAGCTAAGCAAGAGCAGTGGAGAACAGATCTCCCAAAGAGACATTTTCTTCAACACCCCCCAAGGGCGCCTCAAACTAAGGGATTTCCAGGTTTGTCTCATTTTTTTTCTTCATATAACGGTCAGTCAGTGACCTGGCTAACTAGACCCAAAACTGACTTCCATGTCCTAATCTTCAAAAAAAATCTTATACACACCTATATACACTGAGTGGCCAGATTATTATGACCACCCCATCAGTACTTCGTTGGGCCACGAGATGACTTCGCTGGGCCGCCTCGTGACTCCACGAGATGTTGAAAGGTGATGCGAGGAATCTGACACTGCACTGTTGCCCTGTTGTTGTCTTGTACCAGTCTTGCCACTCTCCGTTCTGCCCTAACATTGA